GATTGATGTTGCGTTGAATTGCTCGAGTAAGGAGCTGGGGCATGTCCAGCCGTTGCAACACCAGCAGCAGCAGCAGCAGCTTACAATATGAATTACTCATTGCTCATTTTTGTTGCAATTTATTGTCATTGTTGTTGCTGTTGCTGATGCCGTTGCAGTTGCAGTTGCTGCCCATCGCCAATGCAATTTCTCTGTAGCGCTTTTTTGTGGCAAGCTGCTTTTTGCTAGATTTTTCATGTCCGTCTGTCGGCAAGGCCCTTCTGCTTTATGTGCCTGGCATATTTTGTCGATATTTACTTAAAAATACACAAAGGACGTCTTGCAACATGCTTTTTTTTTGGCATGCCTTGGAGCAAGTTTTAGTTGTTGCTTTTTGCTGCTTTAAAGTTGGGTTACTTTCTTCTTGGGGGGGGGGGGGGCATTTAGGGCGCCTGACGCCGCAATTACAACTAATGCGGCAACTGCGTGTTCGCTGCAAACATGGCTGACATCATTAGGCCGCAAGACACTCACACACACTCACACACACACTCACATGCACACATTCTCCACACACACATTGCCCTGCCTGGCTGCTTCCGTTTTGACCAGCTTAATTTCCTGCCTGGCACCACATGGCGTATGTGTAATCAACTATATTGTAGCAGACTCCCTCTCCCCTGCACTCTCTCTCTCCTTCTCTCTCCCTCTCTCTGTCCTTTTAACTCTGCTTAATCACTGTAACTGCCATTTTTCATCAAAGTAATTACCCGCGGCCGTCGCCAACGTCGCTTTCATTTCTCTTATGTGTAGCCAGCGCCTGCGACCACGCCTCTTGCTAACACAAACACAAACACACATATACACACACACACACACACACACACACATACACACCCTCATACACGCATTGTGCCCTACAAAGCTGCCACGCCCCTCTTTAAGCGTCGTCCAGCAAATTAAATCATTTTATATGCATTAAAATTTTATGCGCCATTTTATTTGACAGCTTATCAAAAAAAAAAAAATCAACAAATCCCACAGCCTCTGCAAGCCCGTCCCTGGCCGCCAAAATATTTTATGTTCATTTTAATATGCCCTAGTTTGAGTAGACAAGAGGAATATTGGTTTTTCGAAGGTCTCTTTTTTAGCGAACTTCTATTTGTTTTTTCTTTTTTTGTGAATATATTAGTTCGAAATTTTGATTTTTTGGATTTTTATTTATAATATTAATATCCATATTCTTAACAGAGTACTTAACAGTCGCTTAAGCTTATAATTTTTTTCTGCTATTATTTTGCTTGATTCTCCCCATTACTTGGCATTATTTTGGCGTTTTTTCTCGCGTGTTGCCTACTTTTCTGCGTCTTTTGCATATTTTGCGCCTGCAAAGAAAAACTTGAGTAAAAAGTTTTATTTTTCTTTTTTGGCAGAAATTTATGAGCCTCAACATCGGAAAATTAATATTGCGAAATATTTGTTGGTGGGTGGGCGTGGCTGGCGTTACAGGTAGATGCTGTAAGCGTTTCCCTTCTCTCTCCCTCTCTCTCTCTCTCTCTCGCTCACAGCCGCTCTTTGCCCTTTTTTTCTCTGTTCAAGCAGCCAGCGTATTATGTGGTATATATACATACATTTTTATGTCTTTGATTTGTTTGTTTGTTGCAAATAAAAGCTAAGCCTGAGCTGATTTTCTCTTGTTTTCCAATACTGCGCGCCGCGTTCCCCTTGCCATGCCGCCTCTCCAGCTGCGCCAATAGGCTTTAACGAGTCACAAATTCCGTTTGGCTTGGCGCAGCTTTTGCTGCTTGCCAACAAAATTTTGTGTTAGCTGTGCCGTGCCACGCCCTCTCTGCCAAGTACCCCTACCCCCAAACGCCCCTTGACCAGAGCCTCATCTGAAAGCGGTGCCAAGGTGGCTGCTTGTTTTTGGCCTCGCGCTACGTTTTGTTTGCCTTTGCCAATTGGCGTAGGCCGTGGCAAAAACCCGTTTAGCTGCCTGACCTAGCTGTCCCCATCCCCCACCCCAATGACTACCCCCCACCGCCCACTTTGCTTGCCACTGGGCTGCCTGCCAGCTGCCAGTTGCAAGGTTTTTGTGTGTTGCATGCATAACCAACTACAATGCCAGTCATGTTTCTCCTCTCCCCTCCCCTCTCTCTCTTTCGCTCTCTCTCTCTCTCTCTCTCTCTCTTTGGCTGTCTCTTTTGTAGTTTTTGGCTCGCCTGCCGCTTGTCATAATTTTTAAGTGACCCAAGCGCCGCATGTGGTCGCATGTGTGTTGCAAGCACTGGGTTATCACTGGGTTCGTGACCCAACCCAACCTCGCCCACATATTACCCGCTTAATGATTTATATTAGCTGCCGCATAATTTGTTTTGCTGCTGCAAATCTTTTGACGTTTCAAAATTAAAGTTCTGACGGGGAGAACGCTTTTTCCTACCCCTTTGCTACAAATTCATCTCGAGAAATTAGTCAAAATTTAGCAGGGCTTTAAATTTCTTTACGTAAGCACAAAATTCGGAAGCTAAGAACTTTAAGCTCCAAATTCACAGAATAATAATAATAATTAACGCATAACTTAACCATAGAAAAGTTGAGTTTCTATTGAGAAATTTTAGCACTTAGATAAAGTCGAGGTAACCTTTTAAAATTCGTAATATAGAACTATATTTTTACACAAAACTTTTTTTGATTTGAGTTTCCAGATACTGTACTTGATAATGCAGTACTCGATCATGGAACTGTTTTATTTATTTTTTTTACAAGCAAATACTTAATCCTAGCATTTATTATTTTTATTGAGAACTTTATTCCAGAATAAAAAGAAAGCAAAACAACGTGAATTTAATTCTGGATCTACTGGAATATAGAAAGTCGTTTCTTTGATTGTATGCTACGTTCCCTTCGCTATTTACCTTTTCGCTAGCTCTTTTATTTTCTTAACTGAATTCCTGTCGCTGCGGGTGGCACAATTTTCAAAGTGCCTGTCGGCTGGAGGTTTCGTTACCCCAACCCGATCTGCCCTGGTGAAAATCTCTCGAATTTCCTGACAGCTCAACAAGTTCAAAGTTCAGGGCAATTAACATTTGTTGCCTTGCGGCGCCAACTGTGTATTAATGTGCTGTTGCATGGGCAACAAGTCAATTAGCTGCTCGAGCAATTTGAATTTGCCCCCTGCCCTGCGCCCCTTAGCAAAGCCCCACAGAAAGTCAATAATTCAGTTCATATTTCGTTAACTTCATGCCGCTTCGCATTGCAAATTTTGTGGCAAAAGAAATTTGCAACAGCTGTCGCTCGCTTTTTTCTATGCTGCAACAAAAGAACACACAACAACAACAACATACACACACACACACACACACACACAGAGCCGCCGCAACAAACATTTCAAACCAGACACATGCAGCTGGGTGCGGGTTATTGTCATGCTGCCGCTTTTGGTGCTGCTGCCGTTGTTGCAAGTACAAAATGCAATGCTGTGCTTAACAACTCGCCGCATAGACAATGCGACAGCTCCTTCAGCTCCTGCAGCTCCTTCTCTGCTCCTTGTGTCTGTCTTTGGGCTCGGCTTCTGCTGCTCCTGCAGTCCAATACAAATGCGCCCAAGTGTATGTCGAGCGTTACAACCAGCCAAAACTTTCATTGTAGTTGTGCGGTTGTAGTTTTTATGTTGGGCATGCGGTCTTATATACCCTGTAAGTTGACAATCTATGTTGGCAGGCAGTGTTAGACTCTGCAGGCCACTTTCACCTCAAGGAACTCTATTGCCATAGAGCCTGGTGCTAGAAAGTTTGGTATGCGGGGAATATGCAGGAATATGTTTAGTCTCGTGTGTTAGCTCGAGTGCTTTAATAGCAAGTGCTAAAAATGCAAGTCTTTAAATGCTAAGCCCAACAATTGTGGCATGTAAACTCTTCTATACTACAAATAAAATATATTTATAGCTTTGAAGAAATCTTTATAGAATGTCTAGGGAATTATTATTGACACGGGGCATATACTGTTCCATCAGTTTTATGTGCAGTCCTTTTACAAGTTTTCCTTTTGTATTGTTGTCGTCGACCCGTCTCGTCTGGTACTGAGCCCCACTGTTAGCGCTGCGCATTTGCAAGTTGTAGTTTTTGTAGTAGTTCGCTCGCCCCCGCGCTCAATGCATGTAGTTTTTATAGACTCCGCACTTGTCGCAGTCCATTGTCTTGACACACAGGGGGGATAGAGACAGCGAATGAATGAGAATGGGACTGAGAATGGGAGACTCGAGACTCGAGACGGAGACAACTTGCTTAGTGCTGTGACGTCTGCTGTTCCTTTTAGTTACTGTTTTCATGGTCCAACTGTTTTGTGTTTTTTGTGTGCACTCCCCCTCAAACCCGCCCAACCCGCTCGAACCCGCACCGCGTTCCCTTTGTCTTTTGTCTGGCAGGTGTTTCGTTTTGTAGTTTCGAACAATGCCCAAAGAAAACATTACCTTTAAATCCTACAGCAACCAACAAAAAAAAAGAGAGAAAGACAGAAGTAGATGAGAAAGTTTTTGAGTTTTAATTTTAAGCATATTATGAAACTTAAATGCGACGTAATTTGTTTGGTTACTCAACGCCGAGGCTAAGCCAGCTTAGAAGCTTAGAGTAACTTATATGAAGGCTTCCAGTTCTTCTTCAATCCTGAGCTGTCTCTCTCTTTGTGAGTGTGTGTGTGTGTGTGTGTGTGGGTGTCTTTATGATTGCGGTCGACAGCTGGTAAAGAGCTGCGTGTGACAGCTGAAAGTGGGCAAGCTGAAGTTGCCTTTAAAGCGCAATGTCATTGTCCTAAAGCTGTCAGTTTTTGTGAGCCTTAAAACGCGATCAAAAGAAAGTATGCTTAAGAATACCCTGTAATGAAGTCTAAAGTAGTTAAATTGATAGGAGGGGCGAATATACGAGAGAATATGAGAATATTTATTTTATCCTTTAAAACTAGACAAGCTATAATTAAAATTGCTTTAAATTGTTTTCTTTTATTACAGAGATCTTCATGGATGTCAATATTTATTTATGCTTGAGTCACAAATTAAGGTATGTATTCAATATTTTATTATTTTGCACAATTTTCGTATAATAAATTTTGCTTCAAAAGTTCTGCAAGTGCCAAATGAGCAAATTAGTTATTTATTAAAACTTGTTTACATATTTAGATACCTTCAAATATATCATATTTAAGAACAAATTGAGAATATTAATTTTATTAACCAGGCTAATTAACTATGATAGATTTGTTGACTTTTACTTTTGATGGACTGTTATCCTTTTAAGCTGACCAACATAAGCACGGGCTATAACTGATTATGTTTTATTTAATTAAGAAATAATAATTAAATATAAATATTTAATTAACTAGGCTGCTTGCATCTAACACTATAGTTAGTAACCTTTGCTCAACGAACTGCTACCTATTATTGTTGACCTACATAATTACAGGGTATCACTGATTATATCTCGCTTATTAGAAGCTGACGCCGCTGTTGTTGCCCCTGCATCTCATGTCGCACGCTTGACGTATATGACGCTGTATGCATGTTGACAGCTCGCCTGCAGGCCAGCGCTTTAGTCACACGCCCCCATCTCTGCCCTGCCACAAGCATTCTTTAATTGCTTGCGGTTGCTGCGTGCAGCATGAGAAGTTGCCACATCCTTTTTGTCTGCTGTTTCGCCTGTCTGTGTCTGTGTGTGTGTGTGTGTGTGTGTGTGTGTGTGTCGCTCTTCACGCCAGTTCCTCTAATGAGGTCATTGCTTGACAATCGCATTTGCCATGCAACATTTGCTGTGGGACGCGCAACGCTTCTGATTTGTTGCATGCAACATCGTTCGTGGCGTTGTTGTCATTCGCCCGGCATCATTCGTTGTCATTCGTCGCTGTCTTTCGGCCGTTTTTCATTCTGCATTGCGCGTTTCTTTCATTTCCGTTTCCGCTGCCAGCTGCTTCATTGTGGTTGTCATTAGGCGCAACGCCGTACAACTTACCGTTTGCCACCCCCCCGACCCCATCCCTGTTCGAAACATTGCATTTGATTTTAGTTCATTTTAAATGTCTTTTGTTCTTTGTTTTGCGCTGCTTCGGCATCTTTTGCCGCTGCGTCGCTTTCATTAATTTGGCCCAACGCCGCTGACTGTGCCACTATGCTAGCCAGGCCAGGGGTTGTTAGTTAGTTAGGGGGGGGCTGGTGCGTTGGCGTTTTTTGCCTCTTCGACATAATTTATGCGACAAGGCGTGCGAGAGATAAATTTCTGTCGTTTGCCATTTTTCGCTTGCGTTGTATTTGGTCTAAATAAATTAAAGTCAGCGCCTCGCAGGGTAACGGAAAGTGCGGCGAGATCGGCTCGTAAATGAAGCTCCACACTATTTAGGGCAGGGACTTCCCACTCTGCACTCGCCAATCGCAATTTCCGCCGCACCGCCTGTTGATTAATGCGCGCTTTTAATTGCAGCAGGCCCAAAAATTTTCTAGACCACCAAATGGCAAAAGCTCAAAACAATGCGTCAGCCAAAGTGCCAGAAAGTAGGCTTCAGGCAAGTAAAATTTGTTTAAATTGGTATACGCCGACTGTACAATGCTCTTCTTCTGTTACCAGCCCAAAATGTGGCAATAATATTTTAGTATATTCTTTCATTTTCAATTTTAAAAACCAGTAAAAAGTTTTAAGAATCTCTTTGGTAAATTTTAATATTAGAATTTGAGGAAATTCGTATTACTTGTTTTTTGCTTAGTTTTATTTATTTATTTAATATAAATTTTAGTGGCAATTAAATTGCCCCGAAGTGATGTATATTCTCATAAATTAATATCAGCTCTGATGCAAATATATTCTAATTTACACTCTACCTTTTGTTGCTGGAAAAAGTAGCTTTAAGAAACGTTGCGCTGGCTCAGCCGGCGTATACGTAATATGCAGCGCTTTAATACACAGGTTAACCTGGCGTATACGCAACGCGAAGTGGAGTTGCGGCTATGGCTGCATATGAAATGCGACTGGTGTGGCATGCGTGTGCCTGTGCTTCTGTGTGTGTGTGCGTGTGTGTGTATGCCTTGTAAATTAGTGCGCTCATGCAATGCACTCACACACAGACACACACACACACGCACACATAGTCATGTAACTGGGCAGACAGCGTATGCCACTTAACCCAACTCCAGTTCTCTGCGCTGTGACATGTCTCATGTAAAATAGCATTTTCGTGCGTTTGTTAATTAAAAGTGTAACTGAAAGAGAGAGAGAGAGAGAGAGAGGGAGAAGAAGACAGAGAGTGGAAGCGAGGGAAAGGCGTGTGTAAAAGCGGGTGCAATGCCAGTTGGTGCCCAACAGCGCCAATGCGTTTTCGACGAGGTAAACCATAAATAATGAATGAAATTAACAACGCAGCAGCAACAGCTACAGCAACAACTCAAGAACGTGACACTAGCTTGTGTGTACATATGCGGGTGTGCGTGTGTGTGTCTGCCTGTGTGTGTGTGTGTGTGTGTGTCATGTGCCTGACAGCAACTGACTCATCCTTTGAACTTTGCTCTCCTTCCACGCACTTGTGCAACCTTAGGAGCCATTCGCTTAGAGCAATTCTTTACTTTATTTTTATCTTATATTTCTTGTGATTTAGCTGATGTAAAATATGAGCCAGACAGGGAGATATATATATAATTTGAAATATGGCGCCATAATTTATAAATATGTTGAAATTTTCAGATTTATGCAAATGAAAACTAAAAAGTCAATTTATCTACATCAGAAACAGCACCAAAAAATTCTGTGCACAAGTTGTGCTTGAAAGAGCGCCGGAGTTTGTAATAGAAATCAATATTACAGCATAAAAAGCTTTTAAATAAAGCGCACAAGGCAGAGATACTTTGTGCCTTTGCAATGTGGAGTATGCTTTATATTAATAAACATTCTTTTATAATTAAATCTGATGCTTTACAATATTTTCGCATCTTAAACAGTTACGCAAATCAACTTACAGCTGTTTGATTGTTAACTCTTTAAAATGAAATCAAGTTCACAACGAACTTTGGAAATAGGCTCCAATAAGAGTTGAGCAAGATCTTCAAGATATTTGATTCCTGCCCTAAAAAGTATAGTAGAGTAGACAAATCTAGAACAGTTTATACTTGACTTAAAATTAACAGCTAAATAAAATCAAAGTCTGCCTTAAAACAATTTCCACTTTTAAGAAAGTATTTTCATAAAACGTTTGGCAAAATTTACCACAAATTTTGAGGCAGTGCTGCTGCGGCAGCAAAGAGCCGAACCCTATTTAAATGTGAGACCCAAATCAAAACTGAAAGCTATTTCAGCTAAGCCGCAGAACAGCAACCACTTTTCGTTTAATAAGTTCCTTGAAATTCCTGAAATCCATACAAATTAGGCATTAAGTTAATGGCAGCTCACGTAGTCGCTGTCGGCTTTAATGCCATTTAAATAGCTCAGCTTTTAAGTGGCAATAAAAGTGTTGTTCGTGCGTATTTCAAATCGTGTAGATATTAAACTGAAGCCCCGCTGTTGGCCACTCCCTGCCTCTCTTCTCCTAACTCGCCTTGTGCATTTCCGCTTGAGCGCGAGGCAAACAAAGCGCATAAACGACGCATTGAGTTATCAAAAGAAATTGCTGGCAACGTTGCAAGTCCTTGTGTTGCATGCCCCTTGCTCTCGACGACGACCCACCATCTACCCCGCCCGTCCGCTGAGCCACCCCGCAGTGACAGGGCGTCAGAGCAGACACATTATTTATGGGTCGCAATTACTCACAGGCGGCATGGGGAGCTTAGGGCTTGCCACTGAAGAAGAAGAATTGCCTTTTTGCATATACATTCATTTCCTTTTAGATGCAGTTGCACGCGTAATTTGCAATCACAACAGATATTAGATACGAGTTGCCAGATACTAGATACTAGATACTATCTGCAAAAACTTGGCTCAAAATTCCACAGCTGACAATAATTTACAAGCATTTATTTTGTTGGCAACTGAGCAACAGCCACAGCAATTAACATGGTCAGGCAGGCGGCTGGGCATGGTCAGCTCTTTCTCGCCTCCTTCTCTTCGCCTATCTCTTTCGACCATCTCTCAACTGTTCGCTTGGCAGTTGCTTATCTACGCCTCGCTGCATTCTCATAATAAACAAATTTTCTGTTTTCTCATGGTAAATTACATTTACCAGCGGGTGGCAAGAAGAAGCAGCTCATGATAAACAAGCAGCAATGCTTGCGGTTGCCAGCATGGGCAGCTTTGGGCTGGCCCGAAAACTAATGTGCGTTGCACTGGAAGACAATGCCAGCCACATTAAGCAGTTTATATGCCACACACACACACACACACTCACACACCCTACTTATCTCCCTCCCCCTCCCGCTCACCACGCTTCCTTTTACAGCTGAGCAAGCAAGGCAATTATTTATATCTTGTTTTATTTATTTTTTATTTTTGGTTCTTCCTGCGGTTTAAAGCCATAAAAGGCTAACTCTTTATTTTCGGCTTGATAAAATTCTTAACTGGGCCACGCCCACTTTTTAATAAAAAGGCGCGGTCAGTGTTGTTAAAGCCTGAAAATAATTGAACAAAGTAAAACGTGGCACACAGCAAGGGACGACACAGCTGTGCTGTGCCATGCATTTTATAGCATTGAAGACAAAAGGGCCAAACAAAGCAAATGCACAGTTTTTGGCCTCACGTCGCGTCTTCCACACACGTCCTGACTTTGGGCCAAAGTAGTTTTCATTGTTTTCTGCTTGCATATTTGACCGGCGTCTGTTTTGTTGTGGCCACAAGCAACAAGGACTTCTAATTAGCACACTGTCAGCCGCTGGTCGGGCCAGGACAATGACGACAAATGTGCTTAAATGGCCAAGTTAGTCGACCCGTTAAAAACGGGCAACGGCAAAAACCCAAAGCAGAAACGGAAACACCAATGGCAAATGGCGGCAGTTCGCGGCGGAACCAAACAGCAGACAGAGACAGGTTGACGCACAGAGAGAGATAGACCGAGTAGGAAAGAGGCGGGCAGAGTAGTATGGCTTAATGCCACTAAAGGACATTACATTTGTTATTGCTTGGCAGTTATATATACACATGTACGTCTAGTATAGGCCGCATATGTGCTCCTATGCACAGTGGGTCACAAAAGCTAAGCATGTTGTGCTTAGATATATGTATTTTATGTCTATATTCATATATGCAAATTAATGCCATACAATCATTCACTTCATATTTGATTAGTCAGTTAGTTAGGCTAAAAAAGATATACAAATTAAGAAATGAATCACTTTTGTTAAATGTCTTCAAATAAAGCCAAACATTTTAGCCATTAGTATAGAAATGTATAAAGTATTTATCCATTCAGAAGCCTCCACTTAGAGAAACTGATTCATTTTAGAGACATAAAATATCCTTCTCATTCCTTCTCACAAATTCACCTGCTTTTTTTACGTTTCTATCCACTGAAATTTCCGAGTTTTAAATAGAACCTTTGCGACTGATGTGGCTCATTGTTGTCGCAGTTTGTGACTACTCTTTTTATTATACAAAACAAAAAATATTGTTTGCCCGACGTTTGCACTGTTAATGTGTGTGTGTGTGTGTGTGTGTGGTTGCTGTTGTTTTTATTTCCATTTTGATTGCCATTGCGCTCGGCCTCTAAGTGAGTTTTTCTTTAATTTTTTTTCTTTCGACAATTTTGCTTTTGCAAAGCGCACAAATGTATGCAACACATTTTGTATGCAATGGCCGCAGCAAATCCGCACGAAACGCCAGCAGCTGCAGAGGGGTTATACGTAGCTAGCTGGCAAAGAGGCGGATGGGCGGGGGGGCGGGGTTAACTCGTTGCCACTTCCGTGCTGAGTGAACGGAAATGGCGGCGTCAGGTCGCCAGACCGACAAACGACACCGACACCAACGGGGCCAAAAACTGTAATCCGAAGCGCCGCCAGAAACACATGCAGCTGGCCAATTGAATAAGCAGCAGCAGCAGCACTGTGTGTGCCGATGTATGTGCGTGTGTGTGTCTGTGTGTGTGTATGTGTGTGTGCATGTGTGTACTTGGTGTGGCTCTGCTTTCAAGTGCCGCCACTCAACTAGCACTTATTGCATGCGACAAAGGACAAACGACAGCAGCAGGCAGGAGGCAGGAGGCAGGAGGAGAAACCAGGCCCAGAGACGGGGCCAACAGTCGCGGCCTGTTCCGGATGCGGTCGCAACTTTTTGTCGTTTTCAATTTTAATTTTCTCTCTTTTTTTTTTTTTTTGGTTTGTACACATTTTTTTTCGCTGTATTACTGTCAAGCCGGGCGGAGTCATAGCCACAGTCACACAGTCGGCAACTTGCGACACACTTAAAGCAGTTAGCTCGATGACCATCAGTGGCATATCATGTTGTGCTACACTGAGCGAAATGTTTGGTATAGATACAGACAATTTAGTGGTAGGGAGTATTAGAAACTTTCGTCAACTTAAGTTTGATGAAAATCTCTTTAGATAAGAAATAATAATATAGGAATATTTAATCATTGACAATAATAGGATTTTATTTTATTCAATAAATAATTGAGCAAAACCCTCTTTCTTTAGCAAATGTGGGCCGTATCATAAATTTGTTTTCAATTTATTTATAAAATATTCTTCATTCAAGACGACTGTACTGTATTTTGACCAAAAACCGTTTTGATATAGGGAAAATATAGGATTCATTTTGTACAATGCAGTTATAGTTGCAGATTCAGCCTTCATTTTGATCATTTGGCGCACATGCTGCGCGAATTTGAATTGCGGAATGCTAAATGTGTGTAGAAAGACAGAAAGAGAGCACGTGTGAGAAAGAGATTGAGAGAAACAGAGAAGAACTAGCTGCTGGGGAATGTCACGTAATTGTTAAAGCAAGTGGCACAGGCTGCAGCTCTGCCAGTTGAAATGGCGCACATTACGTATACGTAATGCACGTTACGTATACGCAGCATATGCAGCTGCGGCTGACGCCTAAGCGGCCCGAAGGCAAAAGATTACTGCAGCTGCGAACACGAATCCTGCAGTCTCACCTGGACTGCAGTTATTATGGCCATAACCATAACAGTTATCTGATTTCTTTGGGTACCTTTTTTGCTTGTGCTGGCTGCAGCTGCCGTTGACAGTGGGCCAACGAAAAAGGACAAAAAAAAAATAAAATAAATGCTTGCCAGCCTGTGGGGACGTTTTTTTGTGCCTTTCCATTTTGGTTTTTTTTTTGTTCATAATTTAATATTTACAAAGTAGAGCACACAGCGTCGAGTAGCGACACAGAAAACTGCAAAATAATAAAACGAAATTACCAGAGACAGGACACCAGAGAGCGCCAGAGAGAGAGAGAGAGAGGCGGCGGCGGGAGAGGCCGCTCTCCGGCCGCTGTCCTGGCGAAAAATCTGTGCGCTGCGCTGCATTAAAAAACGCTTAGAGCAGCAACTTTTGTCGCCTGTCGCCTGCCTGGCGACTGCTGCTTCTGTCTGCAGACTATGCTCTGTGCCGGCCAGTGTCCTGTTTGGCCGAGCTGCGCCATATCCTGCCACGCCACCATGCCCTCCGCTGCCGCATTGTTCATTGACAGTTTTTGGGCGTTGGGTGTGATTCTGTCGTGCATTTCTGAAATTTGTTTGTTTTTAATTAATTGCACGCGGCGACGCTGAAGTAAACCTACCTCACCAGCACCACCTGCCGCACCATGCCGCTGGCAAGCCGCGGCCTTTTGCTGCTTTCACACATGTGCTCCTTCTGCTGTTGCTGCTGTGGGCGTGGCTGCGTGTTGTGCTGTGATTAAGCCGCTGAATGGGTCGGCTGGTCACTGAGCTGTGGACTTGAATAGCGTGCCAGGATTTTAGATAAGCCTGCCCCTGGCCCCACTCGAGCAGGCCGCCAACCCGCCAACGCCTTAGCAGACTGCGTGTCGGCTGGGCGTGGCTTGTTAGCGCTGCGCCGCCACAAAGTATGTCATAAAAAATGTTCACAGCCCGTGAAGAAACTTTAATTTCGATTAATTTCTGTTGCACACACACACATATCCAGAGACAGACAATTACCAACACCATTAAATGACAACAAAGTTGATGTTAAAATCGGACTGCAAGTGTGTGTATGTGCGTGTGCGTGTGCGTGTGTGTGTGTGTGTGTCGCAATAACCATTTCCTGCAACATCACGAGAACCCTTTTGGGGTTGACAGCACAATTTGCATAAATTTTAAATTTCAATTTGCAAACCAAAAAACTGAACTGAAATGAAATGAAAGAAAAATTATGCATGAAACGGAAAAGCAAAAGTTCGGCAAGTGAGTAAAAATAAAAAGAAGCAGCAGCACAGAAAATACCAATAACAATGAGAAAAGAACAAAAAAAAAATATCAAAATTAGCAGACAACAAAGCGAATGTAGAAGCGGCTGAGGGGCAAAGTAGGTAATAGATGGGAGCGCAATCCAATGAAACCCCTTTATTTTTTGCTTGAACGAGAGAAAGAGAAAGACAAACGCACATTTTGTCAACGACTAAAGACTCAGAAAAAGAGTGCGGGGGGACAGTGGACGAAGAGAGAGGCTGGCTGGTAGGTCAGCCTGTAGTTGACTGCTGAGCTGCCTTTTGGCTTTTGCCAGGCTCGGAGCGGCAGCTCCCTGGCTCGTTTTACAAAATTCTTACACATCCGTAGCATCATGTATGTGTGCGGTTGTGTAAATGTGTGTGTGTGTGTGTGTGTGTGCGGCTGCTATAACGGAACAGGAAACAACTGGCATTGGCAGCCATACGACGTTAAGGATAATCGTGATGACAGCATATTTGGCTGCCCCCAAAAACCCAAACACAAAATCAAACGACAAGTTTTCCCAACTCTATGTGTGTGTTTGTGTATACGAGTGTGTGTGTGTGTGTGTGTGTGTGTGACTAACTTGGGGGCGCATCCTTTTTGTGTCAGTTTGTTGTCTTTAAAACGACATTAAAAATGGTCAAATGAGCTTAGAACGCCTGCTTAAACAGCACTTTGATCCCTGCGCATTGCTTGAACCCACTCAACTAGGCAAAAGGGCAAAGGAAATCCAAAGAAAAATCCACAGGAAAAATGCGCTATTTCAGCTAAATCAGAACGCAAAATGCCGTCTAAAATGCTTCCTTTGAGAGACGTTCTGATAACGTTTCAGTTTTAGTTTTGTCTCTTACAAGTGGGCGGTCACCCTTAAAACAGGGGCGTATGGCTTGCTCTTCAACAATTTTGCACCCTTTTGTTTTTTTCTCTTTTTTTTTTAAGTTCTGACACGCATTTTGATAAATGTGATTCTTATGTTGATTTGAAGCAAAAACCAAACTGAACTTAGACAGAAAGAGAGTGTGGGAGGGAGTTAGATATAGAGTTAAAGTTGTCCGCTGAGCTCATTACCAAACCAAATATTTAACATCATATTTCTTTGCTATTTCTTTTGCAGATTCTTTTTAGCTGACGACGCAGCTTGTCGCCGATATGAGAGTCCTTGTGAATGAGGTAAGTCTTTCTGTATATGCCATGAATATGTACATATATATCCATCTAAAAAAAGAGGGAATATGTTGCCCATTTACACTCTGTAGGCGAAGAGCATTCCAATAAATATATTAAATATATAAGAATATAAGCTTGAGTCACACTAAATAATTTGGTTTTCACCAATTTTCCAATGCACCCGAATCGTGTCTTGGCTTTTACTTGAAAGAGAAACGTAAACAGCTCAGCCTCATCATCAATCAATGAATTAATCGATCAATGAATCAGTCAGTACAAATAGTTTTATGTTTAAAGATGGCATTTTGGCTTTTTATTATTTTGCGTGCAAATTGTATCCCCTTTCTCTCTCGGAGACAGATTTTTGCTCACAAAAACAATTCTCGCATAGAAACTAACATTCCATACTAAGTATTCATAGCTGTATAATATAGGCTGAGCTTTCTACTTAACTAAGACATAAAAATTAAGTGCGACTAAGAGAAAGAGGGACAGAGTATTAGAGAGCGAGAGTGCGTCAAAGTTAGATTAATAGATTGAGAGGGCATCCCTTTGCGTATATTACTTAAACTTAATTTTTCTTCATACTAAACACGCGTTAGCTTTTTCTCGGTTTATTGCTGATGTGGCTGCTTATGATAGTATGGCCAACTCTAGAGTTTTCTCTGGCCCCCACCCCTATTACTACTCCTACTCTTTCAGCTTTTTTTTTCGTGGAGCACATTGCGTATACGCAACGTGGCTGAGGCACAAGGCAAAACTACAAGTCGTTTTCTTTGGCCACATTAATTGAACTCTGTTTATTTATGGCTGGTAATTTAAATGCGGCCAAGTGGTTTTCGCCCATACTCGCTTGTCTATGGACAAAGCCAAAATGGGGCGTGGGGCGTGGCTGTAGTTGGGGGCAGGAGTGCGCTATAAATTGTTAAGTTTTTCTCTTGTAGTTGTTGTTCGACTGGCTGTTGTTGTTTTTTATCAGCGCGGCCAACAACATGAATAATAATGCATGCACAATATTCCAGTGCTCATTTGCGTGTCCTATGGTAACATACACACGCGCGCGCGCACACACACACACACACACTAGCAGGCAGTCGCACAATTGAGGCGGAAGTGCGCATTGTTTCCGCTTTTAATAAGGGCTGTTGTTCTGGGGCCGCTTGAGCCGATGCATTGCAAACGCATTATAAAGCCTGGCAACAGGCCATAAATTGCATTAAATTGCATTTAAATGTGTGTCGGACAGGTTAACAATACCGCTGCCACACCCACACCCACTCCACTCTGCCGCCCTCATAATTGATTGTAAACCAAAGTTGTTTGCCAGCTGCAAAAAGCCTTTAAGCCAACTTAGTTTCGAGCCAACAACAAATTATTTGCCAAAGCAGCCCTCTGACATTTTCTCGCTCTGCTCCGTTTCTCAAGCTTTACTTTTGCGTGCAAATTCCGAAAATTCCAGAATTCTCAAAATTGCAAAGTTATGCTTATGAGCATGAAATGGCTAAGCCATAAAAACTTTGCTCTTCTTTTTCATTTTCTTGTTGGTTTTATTTTATTTCATTTTATTTTTTTTTGTATACCCCGTAGCGACACGCGCTCGCGACAAAAACTTTAGCTTGCACTTGCAATTCGCTTAGCGGCCCAAACGGGAGACGTTTGCCCAGCGCCTTTTGGCCAAGTGCATGCAGCCAGAAAGTTTAATCTCTGCCAACTGCAGAGTGCAAAGGCAAAACTAACTATCTATTGAATCGACTAGAAGATATCCTGTAGATAGTTGATAGTTTTTGTATAGAAGAGCAGAAACTTGTAGACTTAAATGTGTAAATAAAGATATAGATACAGATTGTTGTACACAAAGCACATATATAAATATATATATATATATAGTAACACGAATAGATATGCCTTATTTATAGAGAGTGAACACTCTTAGAGTTTAAAATAAATGTTAGATAGGCGACATGCTAAAGTTGTTAAATTCTATATATAAATATGAATCTAATAACACAGACATTATTTCGCTTTATGGTTTACACGTTTACGTTTACGTTTAATTATAGAAATGATGGAAAAGTATAAAAAATGCATATGCATTAATCAGAGCTTATATACAGAAAGTTTGTCCGATTAGAGCCCTTGATGTCTGTCATACCCAACACACACAGAGGTCAAGACCATTTCGCTGGCTACGGGGTATTAAAAACCAACAAGCCAAGTCATTTCAAGCATTCCAAGCGCAATGCAATTAACAAGCACTCGTTACCGGCCGCCCACTTCTCACCCCACTCTGCCCAAAGTTGAGGTTAACTGTGTGTGAGTGTGTGTGGTTTATAAGTTATGGCATGCGAGTCGTCAATTAAACAAATTCTGCATACATTAATTGTGCCAAAAGTTGTGGCATGCGTGTTGGTAAAAGCACCAGAAAATCAACCAGTGCTGCGAAATTTCTCATTTGTAATGGTCGCACGACAAGCAGCTGCCCAACGGCGTATACTTAATTTTTTTGCGCTTTTGTATATATAAATACCATTTTTTTTTTTTCATTTTTTTTTTTTTTTTTTTTTTTGGGGCACAGTTGGACCTGACTATGATATATGACTGTTTGGCGACGCTGCGCAACGCCATGTGTGGCATGTGGCAACTGGCAACTGGCAACTGTGCGGCATGTGTGGCAGGCAGGGCCAAGGGAGCTGCTTCTTTAAGCTTTTGTTCATCCACTTAATTAGCATTTTGCTTGGATTGCTCGCTTTTGTTTCGTTCGCTGGTGTCGAGTGCACGCGCGTGTCTATCGATGCGTGCTAATTGCGCAGCTTCAGCAAACAGCCCACACCCACACACAAACATCCCCCTGGCTGCCAGCGCCCGCTTCAATTTCAATCCTTGACTGCATTAGGTGCTATCAAGTGCATGAATGAAACTTTTGCGTACAAGTTTATGCCCAAGAGTTAGCTCTCGCTCTCGCAGATTTCTCCTCCCTCGCCCTAGCAAAGCATAGCCTCCTTTGGCCTCTCGCCTCTCGCTGCATAACAAGGAAATCCGTTTCGAGTGCAGTCTGCCAGCTTTGCCTAGCTCGCAAATCTTGTGGACGTCGAACAGGCACTCGTGCAGTTTACTTAAGTGCAGGCAGCCTGCCTCCACTCGGCCAGCAAGTCCGAGTGCAAGTAATACGCCGTATGTACTCTTCCCCTATGTGTATGTGTGTGTGTGTGTGCCTATTCGCTTCGAGTATGCGGCTCAAGTGGGAGGTGGGCTGAGACAATGTCTCAATTGTCGATTGCAGCTGCTCAGCTAAACGCTTATTAACCTATTGTAATGCGTTCCCTTTAATGTGAACGATAGAAGAACAAGCTATCTTAATTAATATTCAGAATTTCTCGAAGTTTTCTGTTTCTTTAACATAACTGAAATTCAGAAAGCATCTTATAATTTTATACAGTTTATACAGTACATATGACTTTGTATTACACCACATTTCAATAATTTTTATGAGCTTCCATATATAAAAATAGAATCTAAAATCATTTCGTGGGCAAACTTGACGTACTGCATAACATTTAATTTAATTTAGCAGCTTGATAATTATTTGAATCGAAATGAACGTGTTGTATAAGAGTTGAAGAGAATTTTCATATCAGCTTCGCAGCTGTTGAGCCAAAATATAAACTGCTAGATAACACTTTGATTGAAGTGAACCTTTTTGAAAATTTGCAAAGCTAAATTCAAATATGTTAAAAAGGAAAGCTTGCCTACTGATTGGGATTAAATTGTACTAAAAGCCATTCAGTTTTGCTTTGTAACATTTGCCTTCGCTTGTGGTCAATTATGTTTGACCTGTGATACAAGATAACAGACACACACAAGTACTCAGCTCTGCAGCAATTTATTGTGGATTACGCTTAAAGTTTCACAATAGATACCACACAAAATGGGAAGCCTGTCGAGTGTTGTGGATAGATGTGGTCTAAAAACTCAACCACAGACAAGTCAATAAAAAATGTAGCTAACCCACTGACAGCACTTATCAAAACGTTCAATCAATCAATCAACTGTTGCCAGCAACTAAACACTGCACAAAAGGCAGAGGAGACGCAGAGACGCAAAGAACTACAAAAAAAAAGGAAAACAGGAAAAAATATCACTCATACGCCCATTTGTGCAGAAAAAAATACACATAAAATCCACGTAAATCAGCGTAGGGAGTAGCACAAAAAAAGAAGAAGGAAAATAACAGTCAAAAGCACAGCGGCAACATCCAAAACGTTATAATCAAAACACTCACACACACACATACACACACAGACACACACACACATTCACACAAATAGGTTATGTGCCGCATTGATACAAAGGACATATGGCAGGACATGGACATAACAAACATAAAAAGGAAATGCCGCCAGGGCGCCTTCACTTGTGTGTGTGTGGCAAGTTTTTTGTGTATTCCCCCGACCAGAGCCTACCCCCCAGCAACCCAGCTCTTCAGTCTGCGGCGCTGCCTGCTGACCCAAAGACCTGTACGCCGGAAAAAACAAGGCACATGACGCAGCGCCTGGGCAACAAATCAGCGCAAATCACAATAACAAAAGGTAGCGGCTACATTTTGCTGTTGCTGCTATTCGTTTGTCAACCTGTCGTCGTCGCAGGATAACAACAAGGACTTCACCTGCCTTTGACAAGCCCGTCAGTTAGAGAGTTATTCAGTTAGTCACACAGTCACATGTCAGCCCGAGCAGCATAGAAACTGGCAGAGGCGGCGACACGCCCCCCGGCCGCTGCTGCTGCTCGTTAGGCGTTTAGCTAGAGCTGCATGCATGTACATATACAAGCTTTTGAACAACTTTCTGACAGCGGCGACGCGTCTAATAAAGCAATTTAGAGTGCGAGGAAAAGAAGAAGCTTCTGTGTAAAGCATGAAAAATGAAAAATGAAATATGGAAAATGAGACAAGCTGCAATGAAGTAAATAGCGTGTGAGCGACGCCATCTTGCACATGCATACATTAA